CAGAAGTGATGTTGTAAACCAGAAGTTCTCAAGGTGGTCCATGGATCCCTTAGGAGTCACCAAGACCTTTTCAAAGGACCTGTGAGGTTTAAATTATGTTCATAATACTATTAAGACGTTATTTGTCTATTTCTAAATGTTGACATTTGCATTGATTGCACAAAAAACAATGGTGAATAAAACTGCTGGTGTCAGGACAGTGGAACCAAACTGTACCAGGCAGCATTGTATTCTTTTGTTTTTAAAATAGCTTTACTGAGGTATAATTGATGCAGAATAAACAGCATATATTTAAAGTGTACAATTTGATGAATTTTTACATATATACATGTGATAAACCATCACTATAATCAAGATGGCAAACATTTTGACCATGTCTGAGTTTTCCTGTGATCTCAGTAACCCATCTCTCTCTAGCCCCTTGTGCTCAATCTTTTTTGGTCACTATATATTTGCGAGTTCTACAATTTTATATAAATGGAATCATATAGTAAGTATTCCCTTTTCATGCTAATGGTAACCAAAGGCAAACTAAACAAATAGACTTCAGAAAAAGGAAAAATCTAGAAGAAGATCATTTCATTATAAAAGATTAATTTATTGAGAGGACATAATAATCCTAAATATATATGAACCTAATAACAGTTTCAAAGTACATGACACAAAAACTGACTAACCTAAACTGAAAAAGAAACGTATATACAATTGTAGTCAGGAAATTTCCATACCTTTTTCTATATAATGGACAGAATAAGCCTACAGAAAATCAGTAAGGATACAGGAGATTTAAAGAATTGACTTGATGACACTTATAAAACATAACAATAGCAGAATACACATTATTTTCAAGTGCATCTAGAACATTAATCAAGAATGACTATATTCTGGGCAGCAAACAATGACTTTCAAAGGACTGAAATCATATGTTTTCTGACCACAATGAATTTAAATTAGAAATCAAAAAAAAAAAAAAAAAGAAATCAATGACAGAAAGATAGCTGGAAAATCTGCAAATAGTTGGAAACTAAACATTATACTTCTAAATAATCCATAAGTCAAACAATACATCACAAGGGGAATTAGAAAATATTTGAACAGAACGAAAACGCTTTTGAGAACTGGTATCATGAAACACATGAGCTTGAAAGCTTCTTAATACTCAAAAGACTTTTCTGATGAGAATGGTGATGATATTGATAAATGTCACTTTTCTAATGAAGTATATGGAAATTTGTCAACCTTTGGAAGATCTATGTAATTCAGTAAACCAATATTTTCCAAATGGCCAATGAAAAGCATTACAAAAGATCCATTCCATGCAAGATGGACCAATGGAATTTTTAAAAAGATTTTGTTTATTTTCACAATAAAGATAGAGAGAGAGAGAGAGAGAGAGAGAATGAATGAGCAGGGTGAGGGGCAGAGGGAGAAGTAGACTCCCTGCTGAGCAGGGAGCCTGATGTGGGACTAGTTCCAAGACCTTGGGATCATAACCTGAGCTGAAGGTAGACACTTAATCAACTGAGCCACCCAGGTGCCTGGACCAATGGAATTTATTGTAAAAGTACAAAGAGTTCATTGATTATGCACTCTGATTCTGTACTGCAACAAATGAACCTTTAAGAAATTACTCCTTGTCAAGTTTGGTGGACTATAAAAAAGAAATTCACAATTATCTAAAAAAAGTTTCTAAAATAGTCCTATTTTGGGGCGCCTAGGTGACTCAGTCACTTAAGCCTCTGTCTTTGGCTCAGGTTATGATCCCGTGGTCCTATGATCGAGCTCCAAGTTGGGCTCCCTGCTCAGCTGGGAGTCTGCTTCTCTGCTTCCCCCTGCCACTCCCCCGCTCGTGCTCATTCTCTCTCTCTCTCAAAAATAAAAATCTTTAAATAAATAAAAGTCTTATTTTTTCAGCTGCTATATGTGTAAGGCAATATGTTCTTCATATACTTCAAATAAATTATAACAGACTGAATAAAGACATAGAGTATAGCTGTCTTCTATTAAATCAGATATTAACAAGACTCACAAAAATGTAAAACAATGCCACTACTCGGGATCCCTGGGTGGCGCAGCGGTTTGGCGCCTGCCTTTGGCTCAGGGCGCGATCCTGGAGACCCTGGATCGAATCCCATATCGGGCTCCCGGTGCATGGAGCCTGCTTCTCCCTCTGCCTGTGTCTCTGTCTCTCTCTTTCTCTCTCTCTCTCTCTGTGACTATCATAAATAAATAAATCAAAAAAAAAATTAAAAAAAAATAAACAATGCCACTACTCTTATAACATTAAAAATTTTTTTGAATATAGTTTTTTTTTTAAGATTTTATTTATTTATTCATGAGAGACAGAGAGAGGCAGAGACATAGGCAGAGGGAGAAGCAGACTCCCCACAAGGAGCCCCCTGTGGGACTCGATCCCAGAACTCTGGGATCAGGCTCTGAGCCAAAGGTAGATGCTCAACCACTGAGCCACTCAGGCATCCCTCAATATAGTTGTTTTCATAAAAATGTTATGTTTACATATAATGATTTTTTAAATGAATTAACAGAAATTTTTTACAATTATCTGTTTTAATGTTTAACTATGCAGCATTTTATAACAAAGGGAAGAAAGCTTAAAACAGTAAGTAGTAAGACCTGGTGAATGAATGAGTTATAGTGGTAAAAGGGAAACAACTTAAGTACCTGTGATTTAAGACTTCATGCTCAGACATCTGAGATAAAAAATGATATAATGAATTTGGTTGTTCATAGCAGATTTCCCTGTTCTAAACCAGAGGATTAATCACCATAATGTGAGCTGACTGAAAATTCATTCAACTGAAAAACATCAGGTCTTATAAGGGCTCAATTAGAATTCCAGCACACTACCAAAAGGCCTTTCATATCCACACTTAATGGACAGGACACATGCCTGCCCAGTGCTATTATGCCTGGGCTGAGACATTCATGCAAGGTAGAGTGAGCCCAGACTCAGCAGACATGGAAGTCCTTACCCCTAGCTGTGGGGTCATAAAGAACTAAATATATTTGGACCCAATGTATGCATACACTACAGCAGTTAAAGTTTGCAGGACAGACTGCAAGGGTTACCTTTTCTTAGCTGTGGAATTTCAGAAAATGTTTACGTCTCTGTGTCTCTTTTTTCTTAAAACAGGAGTAATTATTATAATGTGATGATTACAAATGTAAACTTAGAAAAGCACCAAGTATAAGAAGTACTTGATAAATATTACTATTATACAATGTTTTATCTGAAACACACAGTAAAAAAGTACTAGTCTATCTACACGATGGGTGAAAGTATAAGAAATATAACAAAAGACTCTAAAAGTGAACTATGATATCTAAAAATTCCAGGGTTAAAGACTCTTAAAGTGATCACAGATAGTGTTATAAGAAAAAAAATTATCTCAAAAACTATCATTTAAAAAAAAGTAAATAGTGGATTTGGTATAGACTTTGGATTCAGAAAGCATCTACTGAATTTTTTTTTTAAAGATTTTATTTATTTATTCATGAGAGACACAGAGAGAGAGAGAGAGAGAGAGAGAGAGAGAGAGAGGCAGAGACACAGGCAGAGGGAGAAGCAGGCTCCATGCAGGGAGCCTGACGTGGGACTCGATCCTAGGTCCCCACCTGGGCTGCCCATACTGAATGTTTTCAAAGGTGATGCATTCTTTCATAGTTATGAGAATAAAAATTTATTCTCAACTAACGATTCTGAGACAAGTGATATGTTTTTCCTTTTTTAAAATAAAAAGCAAAATTTAAGTAACTATTTAAAACAATTGTTAAAGTTACAAAGTATTGATCACTGTATTATAATAACTATGTAAACCGCAGCATCTACATCTTAACTCAAAGTGAAAAAGAAAAAAATACAGGCTGAATGGAAAAGGAAATAGGTGTGGGGATTAGGAGCACTGGGCAATCTATGGGATGCTGAATCACTATACTGTATACCCATAGTGAACATTATACTGTATATGAACTAACTTGAATTTAAATAAAACTTAAAAAAAAAAAAGAGTCTAAGGACTATCAGTCTATGTAAAAGGCAAGTCCAGAGAGGGGGTGATGATGACGGGCAAGAGGAGAGCAGTACAGGAGGCTGAGTAGTGGGAGCATGACAGCTGCAGCGAGGGTGAAATACTTCTCTGGACAAAGGATCAGATGCAGAATAAAGGACTCTAGAGCCCTGACCTGATTGTGGGTAAGCAGAGTCATCCAAACAGCTTCCTGGAACTATGCCCATCCTGCCTCATGCCTAACACCCACATAGAAACCAGAAGAGGGAATTTGTGAAATCACCCCACAAAATAAGCTGGCAGTTTGAGTAGAAAACACTTAAAAGAGGATATAGTAGTCAGCAAATTCTTCTGTCAGTTATGTCAACACATGACAAAGAATTTCCACATTCTTACTTCTGCAAGCACTCCCATACTTCTGCAGGACTTCTGCAATCAAATACCAGGAGCCCAGCACTCTCTGCCTCAGGCCAAAAAGCTGTACTAACCCCCCCAGAGCAGGGACGGATGGCAACAGCTGCAGCCTGGGAAGACTCCAGGATTTCACGAATGCGTCTTCGTGTAATAATCAGTGCTGTACTTCCCTCTGCCTCACTAACAGAATAAAAACTTCTATGTAGGTCAGGAGGAAAGAAAGTTCTATACACAATCTATGCTTCCCATATGCTCCAAACTAGTTCAGGTACTGTTTGCAGGCAAATGAGAAAGTGTGTCAGAAGTTTGGGGAGTAGGAAAATAGTGACAAGGCTGCTCATCCATGTGAGCCAAACTTTATACTTCTCCTGAGCAAATCTTTTAACTTGAGTGGATAAAATATTTAAGACTTGCAGCATCTACTTTTGAGAGGAGATGACAGTGAAGGAATAAGGTACTAGACAGGTTCTAATTTGTAATCTATTCTCAAGAATAAATTATTACCATGATTAAAAGGAATAAATTATTACCATGATTAAAAGGAATGTATTGACTTACCTGGAAAATATCTGTCTTGTCGTCAAATAGGCTGATAAAATATTTATAGTCAGCGTAAGCCCAGAATTTGGAATGGTCATAATCTCTAAATGGTCCAGAAATAGTAGATTGGTTACAGTTCCAGGTCAGAAACTCTTCAAGTGTAGCTTCTACACAAGCACATGTTGTTTCAAACTGAGGAACTGCAATATAAAAGAATCCATCCAACTTTTAAATGTATACTGAATACAATTTCCAAATATTGTTGTTTTCTTAAAATGATCATTTCAACCAAAAAAATGTTAACTATCATTTAACATTAATCAAAAATTAATTCTGCACTTGCTATATAATTAGAACCATCTACAACACCCACAACACTCATGATTTAACAAAGACAAAAAACAAGGTTTTAACCTTATGATTAAAGACTGACTACCCTTAGTAAAGCCTGATTCAGTAATCCAGTGGTATCCCTTAGATTAATTTTCCAAGACCTTTTCAAAGGTCTGTGAGGTCTAAACTATTTTCACAGTAATACTCGGATATTTCACATTCTCATTCTTTCATGAGCGTACAATGGAGTTTACCAGAAGCTACATGATATTAGTTGATGTCACTGCTCTGCAACTAGTGGAATACGTGCTTATGTTCTTGTATTTTTAAAATGTCTCAGTTTTAATTTATAATTTGGTAATAAGCATCACTGGACATAATCCATACTGACAAAGGCTTACGGGTGAACTCAGTAATTTTTTTTTAAAGGTACAGCATTTATTGCATTTCCAAATATTACAGAAATATGGACTGCTTCATGAAGTTGCATGCCATCCTTGTACAGGGGCCATGCTGATCTTCTCTGTACTGGGGAATTCAATAATTTTTAAGTGCAAAGGGATCCTGAGACCAAAAAGTGTGAGAGCTACTTCTTCAGATTAAAAAGAGAAGAAAGTAGTGACAAAAGTCTTTTGAAAATTTTCCAACTTTATACTGCGCATATATCAAACATAGTTCCTCAGAATCATTAAGTGGCCAATGGTAACTTAAAGTCTGTTCATTTATTCATTAACTCATTTATTTCAGAATCATTTATTAAGTACCTAATTTGTAACTAGCACTGTGCTCAGGCTTGTGGGAACATAAAAGAGAGAGGTGGTAATATTCTTGAGTTGAGAATGTATTTAGACAAAGATAAAGCTTTAGCCCAAATAATAGGAAATTTGAGGCATTACATAATTAAATGAAAAATGTGCCATGGACACATAGGAAGAGGCAAAGACCCAGAGATGCAGGTTGATCAGGAAAGCTCAGAGAGAAGTCTACTGTCTATCGAGAATGGTTTGTTATTATGGGTATGCCTTTGTTTATCCAAGAACTATTCTTCTAAATAGTGATAAAATGAAAGTTTTTTGGTAAGAAGCAAAATATTTTAAATGAGCATGGGGAATGAATATTCAAGAAATCTGATTATGACCAGCGTAAAATTGTTTTAAGTGATATAGATCTTCTGCTTGTAAGTCAGCACAATGCCTGAAACATAGCAGATGCTCGTAACAGGCTCTAATTCTGATTCTTACATTTACTTGAGGCCCTTCAAAAGTTAGCTGAATTAGTAGTAAGAGGAGAAGGTTATTCAGATTCTTTTTTCAACAGCTTTTATCTCTTCCCTCCACTTCTGCCTGAACTGCCTAGGATTATCTTAACCATCTTTTCCCCCTTCCTCTCTTTTTCCTATGACCTCAGAAAGGTGGAGAATAGAGGGGAGAGTGTGTGTCAAAGAGCCATCCTAATTCATTTACTTCCACAATTTGTCATCTGACTTTGAGAAGGAAAACTTTACAGGAGTATGCTTATCTAAAAGATAAAAATCTGCAATATTTAAGAACTATTTAAATTTAACGATTTTTGAGAAACACACAGAACAGCTGCCACTCAGTAACCCATCAATACATATACGTTCTTAATATTATCAACATCATTAAGCATTTACCCAACAACATAGGAATACACACAAACAAAAACCCATGTGGCAAGAAAGCTGCATGGTTCTGGGAAACAGGAGTCATTTTATAGTCATTTCAGTAAGCTCCAATGGAAGCCTGAAGATATTACACTATCTTATGAGTTTTTAGTTCATAAAATTCAATCCAACTGATCGAACTGAATACTAAAGCCATTACTTGAGACACTTATCCCTGGGGGGTACAGTAGGAGGCCAGTTTTCACAGGCATGTCTGCATTGCAGCCTCATCAGGGGACTTTGTTCTCTGTCACAGCAAGTTCTGTACTTTAAAAAATGAAAACCTAAAAGGGCAAAAATTACATATGAGAACTGTTACTGTCAGGAGAAAATTACAATGAATGGAATGAATGTAAATGACAGACTTTTACATTTACAGTGATTTCAAAATAGAATCTTTTGAATTTTTCTTTCCTGGAAGTAGCAAGCAAAAGGTGTTGTTTTCATTCTGCTATCACGACAATTTCTTTCTGGGTAGTACAGTTGTTTTTCTTAGTTTATTTTCTGCAATGCAATTATTCCTTTCTAACTTTATTATTATTGTTCTTTCATTTAACATTGAAGTAGCTCAGGCAGCTGCAATTTTCATCCCACTTACTGTCAACATGTTAGGTTAAGAAGCAGCTCAACTAAGCTCAGGATTTGGAAGTAGTATGTAAGTTGAACTTGCTTCTAACTCTCATAAAAGGGAGTCCTAAAATATTTTTTTTGCAGAGCAGGGAAACAAATATTTCTCCATTTTGTTAGACTTCCTCATTTTTCAAGCAAGAAAACACTGCATGAAATGTAGGTACTTTTGACCATCACTGCATACTTAGGCTTATTTCTACAACTGCTTTTCCCAAATTACTGGGCCAGCTGAGGTACAGTATTGCCACTGGGCGCCTATGATCCAAATGAATTTGATTCAGAATGGTTTCTTTTTTTTTAAAGATTTTATTTATTTATGAGAGAGAAAGAGAGAGAGAAAGAGGAAGAGATACAGGCAAAGGGAGAAGCAGGCTCCATGCAGGGAGCCCGATGTGGGACTCGATCCCGGGTCTCCAGGATCACACCCTGGGCTGAAGGCGGTGCTAAACCAATGAGCCACCCGGGCTGCCCAGATCCAGAATGGTTTCAAAGAGCAATGAGATGTAATTATCTGCTTTCTAAAACAAACTAAGAGAAACATACAATATTATTATTAGCGCAAGCATTCTAGAAAAACTGAAACCAAGACCTTAAACAAAAATAAGAAATACATTCAATAGGAAGGAAACAAGGTTATCACTGATTGTAAGATCAGATGCCTGTCATCCTAGAAAACACACAAGAACTAAAAAACTACATACACCAATAAATGGCTGGATAAAAAATACACATACAAAAATAAATGGCTTTTTAAAATCTACCATCACAACTAGCTAGAAAAATATAATACATAAAAATATTTTCATTCGTAACAGCTTAAAAAGTTAATATTTATAATATTTTAAGAAATTTGTAGATCTATATGAAAACCCCAAGTCTTTTTACTGAGAGATAAAATGAACTTGCTAGGTGATAATGACATGTTCTTGCATAGGAAGATAACAGTATTATCACAAGGTAGATTCTTTCTGAATTAGTTTACAGCACTTAATGAATTTTCACTTAAAATCTCAACAGGGGGCAGCCTCGGTGGCTCAGCTGTTTAGTGCTGCCTTCAGCCCAGGGTATGATCCTGGAGACCTGAGATTGAGTCCCACGTCGGGGTCCCTGCTTGTAGTTTGCTTCTCCCTCTGCCTGTGTGTCTGCCCCTCTCTCTCTCTCTCTCTGTATCTCTCATGAATAAACAGTTAAAATCTTTTAAAAAAAATCTCAACAGGATTTGCTTAATGTGAATACATTATTTACCTCTAAAATTCATTTAAAGGAATAAAATTCATAACATCTATGAGGAAGAAGAGCAGGGAAGACAAGTTGTTCTTTCAAATATTAAACTATATATCAGTTGCTGAAATAGCATTTTAAAAATATTTTACTGGGGATCCCTGGGTGGCTCAGTGGTTTGGCGCTTACCTTTGGCCCGGGGCGTGGTCCTGGAGTTCCGGGATCAAGTCCCACATCGGGCTCCTTGAATGGAGCCTGCTTCTCCCTCTGCCTGTGTCTCTGCCTCTCTCTCTCTCTCTCTCTCTCTCTCATGAATAAATGAATAAAATCTTTAAAAAAAATGTTTTACTGGCTTCAAAACTGATAGCTCAAAGGATGGTCCAACAATAGGTGCTGGAAGTTGTAAGAATACAGTAATATAATTAAGATGATTTCAAAGTCAGTAGGGGAAAAAAGGATTATTCAGTAAACAATACTAAAATAAAAGCTACGGTTATTTCCAGCTTAACTAAAAAAAGTCAGTGAACATCATATATCAAAATAAATATGGAAAGGATAAAGAGTAAAATGTAAAAAGGAAATCAAGCTATTAGAAGAAAATATTAAAATATTTATTTTCAAGATACAGAAGGGAATTTCTAAGTAAATAAAGAATAAAATGTTAGTGAAATAATAGTTCATTGGACTATATAAAAATATCAGCAGATTTTTTTTAAAAAAAGATAAATCTCAGGGCTCCTGGGAGGCTCATTCAGTTAAGCGTCTGCCTTAGGCTCAGGTCATGATCCCAGGGTCTTGCGATCAAGCCCCATATCAAGCTTCCTGCTTAGCAGGGAGCCTGCTTCTCCCTCTCCCTCTGCCCTTCCCATCCACACTCCCAGCTCATGTTTTCATGCACTCTCTCAAGTAAATAAATAAAATCTTTTTTTTTAAAAAAGATTTTATTTATTTATTCATGGGAGACATAGAAGGAGAGAGAAAGGCAAAGACACAGGCAGAGGGAAAAGCAGGCTCCATGCAGGGAGCCCGACGTGGGACTCGATCCCGGGTCCCCAGGATCATGCCCTGGGCTAAAGGCGGTGCACTGAGCCACCTGGGCTGCCCAATAAATAAAATCTTTAAAAAAATAATTAAAGACAAATCTTGGTTTGGGCAACAGAGTGGCAAAACAGACACCCTTGCATGTTCTGAAAGGAGAGTAAATGGAAACTACTTTTCTGCAAAGCACTTTGCCACAGGTACCAAAAGCCTTCATTCTTTTACTCCACAAATATCTGAGTGCCATTAGGTGCTCAGCCCATGGCGAGGCCTGACCCTGGCCCTCACAAGGTGGCCTTCTTGAAGGGAGGAGAGACAGTAAACAGTTATTTATTTACAGACTAACCACGTGATTCTAACTGAGCTAGGGGCTACTGGGAAATACAAGGTACTCAGAGTTAACTGAGTAGCTGCACCTGATTCAGGAGGCAGAGGTGTGTGATCAGGAAAGATCTCCATGACAAAATATTTGAGCAAAGATCTGAAGGAAGAAGAGGAGTTAACCAGGGAAAACGGGAAAGGAGAAAAGAATGGCTGGACTCTAGATGTAAAAGCCCTGAAGAAAGGAGAACCCAACCTCTGGAAATACAGAAGCTGAAAAAATAAATAAATAAATAAATAAATTTAAAAAGCTTGTTTGGCCCGAGCTCAGGGAGAGGGATTAAGCTGATGAGGCAAATAGAGATCTCTATACCACACACAAATTTTGACCTTTAGCCTAAGGATTATGGAGGCCATTTAAGGGTTGTAAGCAGAAAAATAGGATGAGATCTGTTTTTTTAAAAAACTGTTTCTGGTTTCAGTCTGAAGCATGGCCTGGATAGGAAAGACGGGAGGGCAGCCCTGGTGGCTCAGCAGTTTAGCGCCGCCTTCAGTCTAGGGTGTGATCCTGGAGACCTGGGATCCAGTCCCACATCAGGCTCCCTGCATGGAGCCTGCTCCTCCCTCTGCCTCTCTCTCCGTCTCTCTCATAAATAGATTTTAAAAAATTTTTTTAAAAAAAAAAGGAAAGACAGGGGGTGCAGAGGGACTATGACAGACTACTGCAACTCTGTTGCTGAGAGAGAGCAGGGTGACCCCGCCTGGAACGAGAGAAAGAGGTAGATGGTACATATTTAGGGTATAAGTCACAGGGTCACCAGACATCACTTACAGGGACAATCAGATGACTCAGAGGTTTCTGGTATAAGAAGGTTCATGCATCATGCTGCTTACTCATAACATTTATACCCTTTGACCCAGTCATTCTTCTAGGAATCTATCCTAGGAAAATCATCAGAAACTTGAACAAGATTTATTTTCAAAGATGCTCACTTACAGCCTTATTTATAAATTTGAAGCTTCTAAGTAATCTAGAAAAAATTTAATTATGATACTAACATACAAGAGAGTATTAGCCCTTTATTTTTTAATTTATTTTTAAAGATTTTATTTATTTATTCATGAGAGACACACAGAGAGAGGGGCAGAGAGACAAGCAGGCTTCATGCAGGGAGCCTGACTTGAGACTTGATTCTGGGTCTCTAGGATCAGGTCCTGGGCTGAAGGCGGCATTAAACCGCTGAGACACCCGGCCTGCCCAAGTATTAGCTCTTTAAAAACCGCATTTAACATCAAGAGAAGGGCATCTGGGTGGCTCAATGGTTAAGCATTTGCCTTAGGATCAGGTTGTGATCCCAAGGTCCTGGGATCAAGTCCTGCCTGGAGTAGACTCCCCGCAGGGAGCCTGCCTCTCCCTCTCTCTATGTCTCTGCCTCTCTCTGTGTGTCTCTCATGAATAAATAAATAAAAATAAAAAAATAAAAGTCTAAGTCTGATAAAGGTCTGATATCCAGAATATATAAAGTCCCCTACTTACAGTGGTTTGACTTAATGATTTTTTGACTTTATGATGGTGTGAAAGTGATACATATTCAGTAGAAACCGTACTTGAAATTTGAATTTGGATCTTTTCTCTGGCTAGTGATATGCACTATGATACTCTCTTATGATGCTGGACAGTGGCAGCAAGCAATAGATCTCAGCCAGACCATTACAAGGGTAAACAACAGATACACTTGCAGCCATTCTGTACCCATATAATCATTCTGCTTTTCACTTTCACTACCATATTCAATTACATGAGCTATTCAATACTTGATCAAAATGGCTTTGTGTTAGATGATTTTGCTCAACTGTAAGCTAGTAAGTATTCTGATGACATTTAAGGTAGGCTAGGCTAAGCTATTACATTTGGTAAGTTAGGTGTATTTTTATTTATTTATTTATTTTTAGATTTTGTTTATTTATTAGAGAGAGAGCACGAGCAGGCAGAGGGGCAAAGGGAGACAGAGACTTCTCACTGAGCAGAGAGCCTGATTCAGGGGTTGATTTCTCGTACCCCAGGATCATGACCTGAGCTGAAGGCAGACGCTGAACCGACTGAGCCATCCAAGTGCACAGTTAGGTGTATTAAATGTAGTTTTGATTTGAAATATTTTCAACTTATGATGAGTTTATCAAGACTTAATCCCATCATAAGTTGAGGAAGATCTGTAAAGAACTTTTTTTTTTTTTTTTAAAGATTTTATTTATTTGGGCAGCCCCGGTGGCGCGGTGGTTTGGCACCGCCTGCAGCCTGGGGTGTGATCCTGGGGACTTGGGATTGAGTCCGCGTCGGGCTCCCTGCATGGAGCCTGCTTCTCCCTCTGCCAATCAAGTCTGATGTGGGACTTGATTCCAGGACTCCAGGATCACACCCTGGGCCAAAGGCAGGCACTAAATCACCAAGCCACCCAAGGATTCCCTGTAAAGATCTTTTTTAAACTCAACAACAAAAAGACCAAAAAACGCGTTCAAACCAAAAAACACCTCAATTAGAAAATGGGCAAAGGACTCGAATAGACATTTTTCTGAAGACATACACATGGTCAGTAAACACATGAAAAGATGCTCAACATCATTAGTCATTAGGGAAATGCATATCAAAACCATTATGAGATAACACTTCACACCCACTAGGATGGCTGGAATAAAAAATAGGTTAAGTATTGGCAAAGATGTAGAGAAATTAAAACCGTCATACATTGGGATAGGAATGTAAAATGGTTCAGCTGCTTTGGAAAACATTTAGGCAGTTCCTTAAAAGGTTAAACACAGGGATTCCAGGGTGGCTCAGCAGTTTAGCACTGGCCTTCTGTCCAGGGCGTCATCCTGGAGTCCCGGGATCAGGTCCTACATCAGGCTCCCTGCATGAAGCCTGCTTCTCCCTCTGCCTCCCTCTTTCTCTGTGTCTCATGAATAAATAAATAAAACCTTAAAAAAAAAAAAGGTTAAATACAGAGTTACCGTAGGACTCAGCAATCCCCCTTCTAGGTATAAACCCAAGAGAAATGAAAACATATATCCATATAAAAAAACTTGCTCATAAATGTTCGTAGCAGCATTATTCATAATAGCCAAAAATTGGAAACAACGCACATGTCCATCGACTGATGAATGGATAAACAAAACATGATATGTACATATAATGGAGTATTATTCAACAATAAAAAGAAATGAAGTACAGATTTATGCTACAATTTAGATGAATCTTGAAAATATGCTACGTGAAAGAAGCTAGAAAATATGCTATATGAAAGAAGCTATACACAAAAGCCATGTATTGAATGATTCTGTTTATATGAAATAGGCAAATCTATAAGAACAGAAAGCAGACTAGTGGTTGTCAGGGAGTAAAGTGGAATGGAGAGTGACCGCTTAAAGGGTACTGGGCTTCCTTATGGGGTGATGAAATGTCTGGAATTAGATAGCGATGATGGTTTGCACAACATCATGCATATGTTAAAAGCACCGAACTGTACACTTTAAAATGATAAATTTTATGTTATGTGAATTGTACCTATTTTTTAAAAAATTATCTTTAGTAAAAACAGAGCAGTTGCTCACAACTGCAGAGAACTTCTACTTTCTTTTTCTCTGATGTTTAAGTATTAGCTTGAAAATGTCAAATCACTGTACCTCATCTAGAAAATAGGATTATAATAGAACCATTCTAAGAGGCTTTGAAGAAGATTAAAAGAATTAATACGTATAAAGCACTCAGAAGAGTGCCTGACACAATAGCTCTCAATAACTATTAGCAATTAGTAGTCATGCTGTATTTGGAATCTAACCAGGGTATGAAAAAAATTATAGCTCCTATTTATCTCAAAATTATTGTCTAATAGACATCTCAGTGGATGGGAGATTTATTTGACTAAAATCAAGGAAGGATTTATTTGACTAAAATCACAGGCTGAGTTTTTATGGGCCTTTTGCCAGTCTAGCATTTAATTTTAAAACACAGTAAGATTTTGATCTGTGATTAGAATGAGATTTTAAAGAGTTGTGCTTATTAATCCTACTGTTTCTGCCATGAGTACAAGGGGGTTCTAGACACCAAAAACCAAATAACTCTTGAGAGATACATGAGAAGGTCAACATGAGAAAAAGAAGCTTGGAGAAGCTAGAGGGAAGCTGGGTAATTTTCTAGTTCCTTCTGGGTTAAAATTAAATGCTAGACTGGCAAAAGGCCATAAAAACTCAGCCTGTGCTCTTACTTCCTATATTCATACAGCCACTTCACAGCAATGCTTCAAACACTGTGAAATTGTAGACTACCAACCAACCTTGCCCATATTTAAATAGAAGTTAAACACTTCTAAAGCCATTCAATGGTTATGGATTCCTTTAAACAGCACTCTTTCCTTTTACTATTTTTAGAATTAACAGCAACTGCTTTATCTGACTATAAGGCAAAATATCAAAATGTTACAAGTCTCCAGGGAAAAAGAAGAGGCTGGCAAATTCTAATTGCTTAAAAGGATGAAAAGAAAGACAGCTTTATATACTTTTCATATTGATGCAGAACCACAGAGGTCAGGCGGCTGATGGAGCAGAGAGATAAAATTACAACCAGGAGCAAGCAGTATAAATATAGTGCCTGAAGCCACAAATAAAAGGACACATTCTACATGAGTAAAAACCAAAAGGGACTATAAGCTTGGTAATAATCTTTTTCAGTCATAGGGGAACATAAATAATAGCACGTTAACAAATATTAAGTTTTCTACCACATTCAGTGAACCATGATACATGAACAAAGTTATAAGGCTATCAACTGCATAAGGTTATCAACTACACACATAGTATATTAAAAAAAAAAGTCTTAACACAAACTGTTCTCCTAAAACCTCCAATAAAACTTTCCCATCTGCAAATGGTCAAAAACAGGATTAGAAATAAAGGATTCTCTAGACATAAACCACTAAGAATGTGAGAATGCTACTGAAGAGATGTTATTATTATGATTACTTGTAGTCCTACCTGTATCTGTTCTTTTCATTCCCATCCTGAACCGGATCTGCTTGTCGTGAAGGACCTCAGAAAGGTGTTTAGCAGTCCAGTGGTGTGCTGGCCAATCAAAAGCCATGTTACAGAAGATTGCAGGTTGTTGTAAAGACATTATAATTTCTTTTGCTTTCTCTGGTGTAAAAGGTTTGACACGTTCACCTGGGGAGAGAAATAGAGTGATAACTATAAAGTTATTTCATGTAATATGAAGGAAAAATAGCTAGTATCATTTCTATTACGGTAAATCTTTCTATGCAATTATACATTTTATACTTCGTTTATTACTATTTACATAAATATTTAACCTCAAAAACCATAATTCTTAAGTGATATTTTTTCTTTTTAAGATTTTATTTATTTATTCATGATAGACATGGGGGGGAGGGGACAGACACAGGCAGAGGGAGAATCAGGCTCCATGCTGGGAGCCTGATGTGAACTGGATCCTGGGACTCCAGGATCATACCCTGGGCCAAAGGCAGGCGCTAAACCACTGAGCCACCCAGGCATCCCCTTAAGTGATTTTTCTTACTAAATTTTAAATGTTGGAAAATATTTATAATTTTCAATGTCAAAAAATGTTTTTAAAAAAGGCTTTCCACTATATTTAATTTTTAAAAGACACCATTTTTTGAAAATTGCATTTCCTAAATAGAGGCTTATATATGAAATGCTGATGGGACTACTCTAGAACTAGAGCTGCTGGAGTCAGGAATAATTCTATTTGTCAAATATCATGTGTTTACCCCAAAAGACTACTGAATTCTTATATCAGTCAAAGGGGTGGGGAATGATTATTTTCACTTCAAAATTTAAAAAGATAAAAGATATACTATGACAGGTATCAATGTTAATCATTGACATCAATTGTATCTATAAACAGTATAAGGGCTATGAAAAAATAAATTTTGTGACTGAGTACTTCAATAAATTTCACAGAATCATAGACTGTAAATCCTGGGTTGGATGGTAATGATAAGTATTTGCTAAATAAAAGAACAAGTAAGTTTCTCCTTAAAGACATCTTAAAATGGAAGTATTTTTTTTGGGAAAGTCAAAACATGCTTCATACTGATTCCTGATACATATGCATATATCATTAGCATATGATTCTCTAAATTTATGATTCTCTAGAATAATCAGCTAAAGCCTCTAATTCATTAACTATTCTTAAGGCTTGTTTTTAAAGAAAATGAAAAATTTTAAGTCAACTTGGCCTCTTTTCTCAGACAAGGGCAAACACTCAGAATCCTTCCCCTAAAACTTTGATGAAAGTAAGCAAGACATTTGAGGACAGTCTGTCACTGTCTACACATTCAGGGCTCCCAAGTGAGGAGACATGTGGACATTCAAGGGGGGAAAGGCAATAGATGCCCTGGGTGGCTGGGTGGGGCTATGTGGAGGGAGGAAGAGAGAAGGCACCCTTGGGCCCCCAAGTAAATGAAGCCCCAAGTTCATAGGTAAGTGCTGAAGAGGCTGTAAGGGAAACAGGATGTGACCAGGAGCAAAATTTTCTATCTTTCCTTGAGATTCTTGTTTTCAACTTTTGACATGCTTGATAAATTCACATTAGGGGTCTAGACCCATACTCGCTGATAAATATAAGTACAAGGTTACCTGGATCATGATACACCAAATCTTCCTGGACTTGGGAGTGTCTGGATTCCATGTACATGGAAAATAGACAAGCTGTATTTTTATTACATATTTTGTAAGTTTTGCTAGACTACAAGAAGCTGTAATACATTCAAGATAACACTCTGTTGTTTGTGGCATGTAAATTAGTACTATCCTCTGGCAAACAACTGGAAAAGTGAAGCAGAAATCTCAAATAACCACCCATTAATCTAGTAACTCCTGTTATAGGAATTTGCTTTTAACAAAATCATCATCAGCTGTATGCATATTTATAATATATATGTATACACATAAAATATCTACTACCATAATATAAAAACTAAAAATATAAACAGCTTAATATCTAAAAATAGAAAAATATTTACTGAATATTACTAAATATTATGTAAATTTTTTCCCATGGTACATTACATCCATCAGCAATAAAAATGAAGGCTATGTAGAAATGTGTGGAGATGTAGAGACTGGAACTGACTCAGAGCTACTGTACTAGCCAAGTAAGAAGTATTACAGTAAGGCCCTGAACAGCAAGGGGTGGCAGTAAGGAAGGCAGAGATGGTGGAGATATAGAAATACTAAGAGAATAATATCAAAGACTATTACAAACAAAGACATGTGGGGTGGGAGGAAGATGGCAGCCATAAGGGAGACTGAGGTATCTAGACTTTGTGACTTGACGTAAAAAAAAAGTTAGGAGCAGCAGTTCATTCTGGAGGGAAGATGAAGAGTTTGAACATCATCATCATAATAATATATTTCCTTTACCATTTGCCATTTACATACATGAAAACTGCTCATCTGATCTCTAAGAAACCTATAAAACATAGGCAAAGAAGGCATATCATTTCCATTATCCAAAGGAAGAATAGGAAGCTCAGATGTCAAAGTTTAACACATCAGTGATGACCTGGAACTACAGGTTAGGTTCCCTGATTCCAAGTCCAGTGCTCTTTCTACTGCATAATCCTGCTTCCAGAGAATTCAAACTGTGGGACCTATACTAGCATTACAGACTCAGGAGAGAGAGTGTAATCTGGAAAGAGAATTAGTTTGGGAAAGCTGTAGACCCATTCATGGATAATAAATCCATGTGTGCGTTGGAGAGAGGGAATGTTGTGGTTTGTCCCCATGGGCAGGGAGTGGTGGGGTAATACCTGTAGTAGACACTGCTAGTTGCCTACCTTATCCAATACCACTCTCTCTCTTCTTCCTTACTAACACAACTCTGGACGAGTGTGGCTGAAAAATTACAATTCCTACACTTCTGTGCAGATACAAGTGGCCAGATATACATCTGGAAGCTGCCAAGTCAGTCTTTTTGCCCTCAGCCTTCTCTCTTATATTTTGCCTGGAAAACAGATATAATGGTTAGCCACCTTGAGAGATCAAAGAGAGGACCAGGGGACCCCTGGCTGGCTCAGGTGGTAGAGCATTTAACTCTTGATCTTGGGGTTGAGAGAGCCCCACATCGGGCATAGAGATTACTTCAAAAATAAAATAAAAAAGGCCCAGGAAATTGCAAACCTCAGCTTAAAGAATGCAAAAATGTCCATCTTTGTGCCACTGAACTAATACCAGCAAAATTCTGCCTCCTAAATCCTTTCACATATAGAAATTAATTCTTATAGTCAAGACTGTTACTAGTTCGAAACAAGGTTTAACACCTTGCCTTCCGAGGCTATTGTTTTCAAGGACAACCATATTACCTCTATAAAATATTCTGTGACTTACACTGAATGAATAATGGCTGGTCTGACCTTGTAGTAATTCTTTCAGTTCTATAGTTGAAAAATATTCAAACTTTGAGAACTTTGTTTCTAGAATTTTGAAGGGCAGAGAAAAAGAGAAGCACCAGTCCTTTTGGGGAAGGGATTTATTTATTCGGCTTATTTTAATGAGAGGCAATAAATCTGGCTTTCAACATTCCCCAGAGTTCTCGTACTTGGGTAAGATATATATCTTGCCACCCTTCCACAAATAAATACATGGTCATTAGTAACGCATGAGTAGTGTTCAAAGAAATATTTTTTTCCTCTAGCATATGCCTTTTAAAAAAGTATTTAATCATCTGATTTAAAAATCAGAGACATCCCAGAAGTTAAATAGGAGACCCTAAAAACTAAAATTTGCTGAGAAAGCACCTGGCCCAGTGACTGGGATGTATTAAATGCTCTAACATTTGCTAAATGAATAAAAAGTGTTATAAAAGTGAGTGTAGGAGATCCCTGGGTGGCGCTGCGGTTTAGCGCCTGCCTTTGGCCCAGGGCGCGATCCTGGAGACCCGGGATCGAATCCCACGTCGGGCTCCCGGTGCATGGAGCCTGTTTCTCCCTCTGCCTGTGTCTCTGCCTCTCTCTCTATCTGTGTGACTACCATAAAAAAAAAAAAAAAAAAAAAAAAAAAAAAAGTGTGTGTAGAGCAGAGCAAGAGGATGCTCACCATAACAAGAAATTAGCATATTTACAGAATCTCAAGCCTATCAATGAAACAAAACAAACAGCTGGTTGTGAGATAAAAGTAATTTGGTTTCTGATAGTTTAATCAACAATGAACTGGGGCATTAAATTAACAAATTTAAGTGTTACAACTTCCCTTAAAGAAGAATGCAATCTACATTGTATTAATTAAAGAGCCCAGGGATGCACTCTGTCACTCCAAGCCAGAAATATTTGCAAAGAGCTATAAAAATTCTGAAGCAATCTTGACAGCCTTTAAAGGATAAGTGTATTTGGGTCTAGACGTGAAGCAAGCAGCAATTTCTAATGAAATGACTTAGAAACTGCTGAAAAAAAGATTAGTGATCTTGGTGTTGCACAACAGTCTTTTCTCCCTCTAAATGTAACATGTTATTCAATTTATTACAGCTTTGGTTTCAACTAATTCTTTGGAGACAGAGAAACATGATCAAAAAGCAAACTGCCTTATTCTCAGCAATTTTTCTCTTTAATTAATGCAAACTGCAAAATAATTTGAAACCTAATTTCTCTGAATTTGTTAGCAATCTGCCTTCCATCAATTAATACCTGGGTTGTATTTGTATCTGAGATTTAGAATTCAAGATGAGAATAAGGAAAACTTAGTAAGTTTCCAGAATTCATTCCTAATGATAGAACACAACTAAGACAAAGATCCTGAAACTGGAATGAAATCATCTCTCATGTCTGGTATAATTTTAATAGAAATGTTAATAACTATAAAACTTTAATTAAATTTTATTAGATTTTATGACAATCTTTTTTTTTTTTTTGACAATCTTATTTAAAAGCTTTCAGAAGGGGCACCTGGGTGGCTCAGTCAGTTAAGACCCTTTGGCTGGGGTCATGATCCCAGAGTCCTGGAATCAAACCTCAAGTTGGGCTCTCTGCTCAGTGGGGAGTCTGCTTCTCTCTGCCTCCCCCTCCCTGCTTTTTTCCACTCTCTCTCTCAAATAAATAAAATCATTAAAAAAAAAAATAAAAGGTTTCAGAAGGTGACAGAAGAGTAGGTCACAAAACCAGCTCCTGGCATGGTGAGCTGACTTA